TTATACATGTCTTTGTTACATAAATATACACATTTCTGATGGACATATTCCCAGGATTGGAATTTCTGGGTTTCTGGTCTGCATATGTTCAGATCTGCCAAACGGTTTTCCAATGTCTGCTCTACTTCTTAATCCTACCCTACTTCCTAACAAGGAAGTGCTTTTGGATGTGTAATAATGCAACAGAGTACTGGGTGGAAAAGCCGACTCTCCATCTTTGGATGTATTGAAGAGGAGTTTGGTGATCAAAGACTTTGTAGAGAAGATTCCTTTTGAAGGGTAGAATTAAGCAAACTTTAGGCTTCTCTCAACTTCAGAGAGACTGCACCTTTGCCTGGGCATGCAGTCTTACAGTTTTAATTGATTATCCGACAATCAACTTCTGTTAAGAATAATTTTGTGTCGCAAACTGCTTGCAAATGGTATAAATATATATCTACATGAAAATACATATATCTATATATGTAGGTATTTGTACATATGTATTACATGTGTTCACATACATACACATACATACAGAGGGAATGTGTGCACAAGAGAGAATTAGAGAGAAAAAGCACATGCAGTCAAATGATGGATGTTCACAGGATATTCTCTTATATTTTCTTTAGTTTTGAAATGTCCTGAATAAAATTTTGGGAAAAAAGGTTAAAAAACAAAAAAGGTTTCCAGAATAAAACATGTGGAGAAAATGTTTTAAATGGAATTATGTGACACAGATACATGACACCCCCCCCAAATACTGTGTGTTGTGGACTGAATACTTATGTTCCCAGATCCTCAAATTTGTGTTGAAGCTCCAGCTGAAGTCAGCGTGACTATATTTGGTTACAGGCTGTTAGGGAGATCATTGAGGCTACCCGAGAGATTGTGTGGACAGCCTGGATCCACAGTTCTCAGAGAAATAGACACCAGAGCTAGCTCGAGCTCTTGTGCTCCCTCTCCCTCCTTCCCTCTCTTCCTCTTCTTCCCTCCCTCTCTTCCTCTCTCTCCCTCTCTCTCTCCCTCTTCCTCTCCCTCCTTTCTCTTTCCCTGCCTTCCTCCACTTCACTCTCTCCTTCTCTCCCTCTTTCCCTCCCTCCCTCTCTTTTCCTCTCCTCCCTCCCTGCCCCCTCTCCTTTCCTCTCTCCCTCTCCTTACCCACCTCCCTCTCCCTCCCTCCCTCCTTGCTCCCATTCTCTCTCCCCCTTTCTCTCTTCCTCTCTCCTTCCCTCCCTCCCTTTCCCTTTTCTCCCTCCTTCTCTTCTCCTCTTCCCTCACTCTCTCCCTCCCTTCCCCCTTCTTTCTCTCCCTCTCTCTCCTCCCTTCCCCTTCCCTCCCTCTCTCCTTCCTTTCCTCCCTCTCTGCCTTTCTTTCCTTCCCTCCCTCTCCCTCTCTCTCCCCTTCCCTCCCTCCCTCTCTCTCTTTCTCTCTCTCTCTGAGCATGCACACCAAGGAGAGGTTGTGTGAGCACACAGCATGCAGGTGGCCATCTGTAACCCAAGGAGGGTCCTCATCAGACACAGACTCTGCTGGCACCTTGATTTTGGACACCCCAGCCTCAAGAAATGTGAGAAAACAAATTTGTATTGTTTCTTCCACCCAGCCTGTGGTATTTTGTTATAGCAGTCTAAGCAGATTAATAAACTGTATAAGCTATATTTTTATTAAAGTCCTATATATTTCAGACAGAGATTGTACCTACAGGGTAGAATGGGCTGCAATCAAAGCCTTGTGACAATACATGGTGCAACTTCCTGAAATATTTCCTCTACTCAATGAGGGCAATATAAAACCATAACCACAACACCACTATCATGGTTTTTAAAAGATAGTAGTAACTCCTTTATCATTCAGTATTCAATCAATATTCAATTTTTCCTATTATGTTATACACATTAAATATATAATTACACCTACATAAATTATATCTAGGTTTGAATTTAATACACAGAATTTAAATTAGAAAGTGCTTGGATCAGGATCAAGGGAGATGCCAACTGTGTTGCTTCAGGTCTTCTCATCTCTGGGCTCCCAGGTCTTCTTTCCTTACGGTGTATTTGCAGAAGAAGCTTTGTTCTGACTTGTAGACCTTTCTGCAGCCTGGACACCATGGTTACCCTCATGTGATATTATGCTGCCTGTTTTTCTTAAATGCTGACAATGAGATCTAGAGGAACACACCACATCCATCTATGCCATGTATGTAGTTTCCATACCTGAATGTGTTCAGAATGTGAAACAGCTCTCACATGTCTTAAGCCTGTCCTGGAGAACCTGAAAGAGCCTGACAGTCACAACTGGCCTGTACCTAAGGTGAAGTCCCTTTCACAGTGGAAAAGAAACTACTAAAGATGAAAGGCTCTTTTTTATTCAGATTTTTAAAAGACGTTGCTACTAACAAAAATTTCATCAATTTAAGTCCTTTAACAAAAAACTTTTACATCTACCAGAGTCAGTTGTTTATTTTTACTAAAAATAAGCTTATCCATAAGTATATAAGTTTAGTTTGAAAATTACAAAACATGACTTGCAACTACTGAGAAGAAAACTATATAAAGCCTACAAATAAAAGAAGAACCATTGTGTAGGGGCAAGTGACTAGCCATTGGCGGAAACAAACAGACACAAACCTAGAAATAAATCCTAGATGGATACAGATTTAAGTATAAAAATAAAATATAATAATTCTAGAGAAAAATCTAGGAAAGCATTTTTATAGTTTTGGGTTGGACGTAGGGTAGAGTGACAATCTAACGTTAAAGCCAGATACCATTAAAAAAAGACTGACATATCTTATTACAGATAAATCTTTATCTTATTACAGATAAAATCTTCTCTATTTAAACCCATCTAAAAATAAAGTAAAAACCCACATTACCATAAGCAGAGGCTTTAAACAAAAGACAAACCAGATAAAACACTTCCAATATTACTGGCAGACAAAGAACTGAAATCCTTAATAAGAAATTTAAAATTCAATAAGAAAAATCTCCTCACAAGACTTCTCAGCAAATTGGATGGAATTAGAGACACTCACACTTAGTGATCTATCGCAGAAACAAAGACTGAATACCACATGTTCTCACTCATAATTGGGACCTGAACACTAATTAATTACAATAGCACAAGGGAGAGACTGGCAATTGTGAAACACTGCTAGGGAGTAGGGCGGCACATAACAACACAAAGGGTAGCTCATCCTAAACCAAGGGGAGTGAAGGCCAGTTTGAGGCCCAAACATCATCAGCACATAGATTACTTACATACCAAATCCTGACATGTACTCCACATCTGTAAAATAAAATAAAGAAAGAAGAAAGAAAGAAAGAAAGAAAGAAAGAAAGAAAGAAAGAAAGAAAGAAAGAAAGAAAGAAAGAAAGAAAGAAAGATCTCCCTATAGGAAAAGTTCAAAAAAACCCGATTCATACAAGAGGAAAGAAAATGTCCAAATGCATGAAAAGATGATCAAACTGAATATTCATTGAAGAATTGCATGTAAATGATTTGAGGCATCATTTAAATATTGAAATTGATAGTATCCAAGGTACTCCCACACAGCTGGTGAGAACATAACTTGAGAAATCTTCTGGAAAAAATTGAGGTTGTATGTTAAAGTTGTGTATACCCTTCTCCTAAGAATCCACCCTAAGGAAGTAACAAGACAAATGCAAACACATAAGTGAAAAATATTCATGTGTGTTGCATGAAATTAGTGAAAAAAATTAGAAAAATGCTAACTGCTTATTAGTCAAGAAATGGTCAATCAGTCCTGAAGACATATAATAGAATCACACTTAAGACAGCTAAATATGTACACATGCATTACAAATATAGCCAGATGTCAGGCATACATACACTGGCAGTATCATCTCCATATGGGAAGAGTCTGAGAAAATTCACTCGACTCCTTCTGACTTTCTTAGTCTGAAGTAGTCTGAAGTCTGGAACTTCCCTCCAAGAGTGTGCACTATTGACTACCATTAATATCTGTATGGGGAAAGGGGGGCACACCTCATCAACAAGGGTACCTGCACAATGAATATGCATATCTAACCCTTAATTGTACCCCACAACTTTAAAATAAAACATATATATTATAAGAAAAGAGTATGCACTACAAATTATATACAGAAAAAGTGAAGATATTTTGAGAAAAAACACAAGATTTTTCTAGTGTAATGTTCTGTTTCTAATCCCAGTAGTCATGGACATTTTGTGAAAAGCATGCTCATCATGGTTACTGTAAGTTACATACTATAAATATTTATAATTTTATTGATTAATTTGCTAATTCACCTAAATTACATTATTTTTTCTTTTGTTTTATTTTTTTCTGAGACAGGGTTTCACTCTGTCACCCAGGCTGGAGAGCAGTGGCATGGTCATGGCTCACTGCAGCTTAGACCTCCTACGCTCAAGCGATCCTCCTACTTCAGCCTCCCAAGTAGCTGGGACTACAGGTGCATGCCACCACACCTGACTAACTTTTCTATTTTTTTGTAGAGATAGGGTATCACTTTGTTGCCCAGGCTGGTCTCAAACTCCTGGGTTCAAAGGATCTTTCCACCTTGGCCTCCCAAAGTGCTAGAATTACAGGTGTGAGCCACGGCGCTTAAGTGATATTTCTTCAAATACATTTTAATTGGAGACATCCCAGAATAGCTTTTTAATGTTTTTTTCTATTGATGAGTCACTGTGTTATTTTCACATTATATGCAATAGAACACGCGTCTAGAAAGTACACTACAATATCTTTATAAAAAAAATATAACTCTTAGTCACATAAAACACAGCTAACTTAAATATTTCAAAATAAGCCAAAATAAAAATTCCTATGTTTTTTCTAATATAAGCTTTAAGAAAGGGAACTATTCTTTGGTTAGGGTTTTAATTGGTTATATAGAAAAGGAATCAGTTTGCCAATTTTTTCCACAAATTTCAGGAAGATAGGTGAGAGGGAGAGGGCTGGAGAGGACACCAAGGAACGGCCAGGCTCGACGGCCATGGACAGGACTCACCAAGATGACGCCCAGGCTCCACAGGTCACAGGACTCATCGTAGCCTCCGTGGTCCAGGAGCTCTGGGGCTGCATAGTGCAGAGTGAAGCAGGGCGTCTTGAGGGGTTGGTTGTCAGGCGGCTTTAGGCGGGCGAACCCGAAATCTATGATCTTGATCTCCAAACTGTCATTCTCGTCGGTGAACAATAAGTTCTGTGAGACACCAACATGGTGATGAGCCTCTCATCAACATGTGCAGCGTGACCTCTGTAGAGGACACTCAGTTTGCGCAGAGCCTGTGGGCAGTTTGGGATGGATGTCCACACCCTGTGTGCTCTCTGCTCACACCTTCCCAGCTCCATTCTAGTTTCACAATGCCAGTGAAACACGTGACAGTGCCATGCCTCTGCTGACGTCAGCCCTGGCCATGCTCTCCCTCTGCCTCCCCAGCCTGCCCCCCAGACTGGCTCATCTCCATCCTCCTGACCATTCTGCCAGCTGACGTCAACCCTGGCCATGCTGTTCCCTCTGCCTCCCACAACCTGCCCCCAGCCTGGCTGGCATCCATTCCTCTGACCATTCCGCCAGGCCCATGCAAGCATTCTCTCCATGTTTTGCTGCCACGCTTTCTTCTTCTCTCCTGGCACCTGCCACTTGTAGTATTAGTTTAGTGCCTCCGTCCCCACTCAGCCAGTCTCCTATAAGGGCAGGGTTCTGTGTCCACCTTACGTACGACCCTGTCTCCTGGGCTTGGCACAGCCACAGAGCAGGAGCTTGGGTAAGTGTCTGTTCACTGAAGGAAGTCATACATGAAATGGTTACATGGTGTCTAGTGTAACCTATGAAGAAAACATGGTGCAGATATTTTTCTCTACAACAGTTCAATATATCTTGATGCTTGGAGATGCCATCCCTTGACTATTCAGGAAATAGTTACTTTGAATCATCTACCCGCCAGGGCATCTGCATCACTAAGGCTTTGTATTGACCACATGCTCCATACATGCTAGCTACATGGATGCCCAGATCATCATCTCCGTAAGCACATCAGGCCAGTTCCAAGTGGATGAGGCTGAATTGCACTGTCTTTAGATATCCAAGCAGAATCTCATGCCTTTATGGTCAGTAAGCCCTTCCTAGCTCAGGGCAGAGTCTGTTTTGCTAATACCATTCTAGTTGATATGAAGGACAGTAGAGAAGGCTTCACTGACACCAGAAGGTGAACCTCCTATGTCATTCATTTACATGTTGAAAATGAGTGAGGTGGGAGAAGAGAAAGGCAAAAAGCTAACTAGGAAGTTTCTTAAGTTTCCTATCCTACAATGCTTCAGCTGGACTGTGACACCTGCAATCACAGTGGATTGACGAGCATGCTGGGAGACCTCTCGGGATTCAGTGCCAGTCCTTGCTGAGCTGGGCACTGGACCACACAGCAGGGCAAGGAAGCACTGTCTCCACTGAGCCACATACCCTGGAAGCAACACATGTACTCCCCATCAGGGCCTGGGTCTCAGTTCCTGAAGTGGGGGAGGGAGCGTGTGGCATTCATTAATTGAATGGCTTTAATCCACCTCTCCTTCCTGAGCATGTAAAGTCCAAGTACGCTGCCCACCGGTGGCCTCTCAAAGCTCCCAGTGGAGGTTCCAAACACTTCTACGTGAGGAGGGTGTGCTTGGTTGGGAGCGGGGAGAGCAACCACTTAACACCCTTGTACCCACAGCAAGTTCTGTCTGAAATGGAGCTGGCAGATACAGTTTCTCTTAAACCTTCCAGGAATATGAAACAGTTCACAAAATACAAAGCAGCTTATCAAGATGGTCAGCCAGCTTCTAAATCCACTGACTCGCACCTGGACATAGGGATCTGCCTGTGTGGAAATGAGTCCCATGTAACTCACTAGTAGAATGCATATAATCAGATCTTGAAAGCCACATGGGACAAGGGCAAACCTTCAGTTTGGAAATGACAAAATCTGTCATTAAACATCAAAGGGAAGAGTATTTTATTATGAAAATGTACCTTTTTAGTTCAAAAGTACATTTTCTTTCTTTCTGTCTCTCATCGGGGTCTCACTCTGTTGCCCAGGCTGGAGTGCAGCGGCATGATTATGGTTCCCTGTAGCCTCAAACTCCTGGCCTCAGGTGATCCTTCTGCCTCAGTCTGCTGAGTAGCTGGAACTATAGGTGAGTCCCACCAAACCCAGCTAATTTTTTTTTTTAAGTTGTAGAGAATGGTGCCCAGATTGGTCTCAAACTCCTGGGCTCAAGTGACCATCCCCTCTCCCCTTCTCGGCTTCCCAAAGTGCTGAGATTATAGGCATGGGCTACTGCGACCAGTCACAGTCTAATAGTTCTGCTTCATTTCAAGGACTATTTGAAAAAAAGTCTTATAACAAGTAAGAAGAATCAAGCTCTATAAGACTCTTTTTATCACAAAAGTAGGAATGCAAACTAAAATCTGCAGAGAGGACAGTTGCCTCGTGAGACTCGGGATGACAGATGGTCACTTATCAGAGAACACACCATGTGAAAATGAGTTCTTTACAGTCATGGACAGATCTTTTCAATTAAGAAAACTACATGCTCGCTCCTTGTCTCTCAAGACAACACAGAAGTTCTGTGTCTCACATTTAAAACTGACAGCCCATCTCCACTGGCCAGAGCACCAGTTCTCCATGGGCATCACGTGGGAGGGCAAGGACTAGAGGGAGGGCATGGGGGGGCTGCCACAGGTGCAAGTTAACAAAGCACAGTCACTTTGGTTAATTACTAGTAATAGAAACAGCAGTGACAGAAAGTACATAGACAAGTTTACATACTTCAAATGAATACATCAATTATATTTGAATGCACAGAATTCCTTTTTTTTTTTAAGTTAGGCAGTTCACTCTGTTGCCTAGGCTAGGGTGCAGTGGCATGACCACAACTCACTGTAGCCTCTAACTCCTGGACTCAGGTGATCCTTCCACCTCTGCCTCCTGTGTAGCTGAGACTACAGGCATGCACTACCTTGTCTAGTTGATTTTTTTGTAGAGAGGAGGTCTCACTATGTTGCCCAGGCTGGTCTCGAACTCCTGGGCTCAAGCGCTTCTCCCAACTCAGCCTCTCAAAGTGCTGGGATTACAAGCATGAGTTACGGTGCCTGGCCTAGAATTCCCTTTCAAAAACATCCTCTACCTCATAATAATTCAACACATTTAAGTAAAAGGCAAAAAAAGTGCTTTTAAAGACATATTCTTTTGTGATCTAACCAAAAAAGGAACATCAAATAAGCTAATGTTTTAAATATACTTAAAAATACATTATAACCACACGGTAATCAAACATAAGTTCTGTTTTGGAGAGGAAACATGTATAATTCTGCATATGGCAAAGGATGAATCAGTTATCTTTTTATACTTTTTTGTTTTTCAATTTTCATTATTATTTTGACTTTCTAAAAGGAAGGAATTTTCATAGTTTTGATACAAAAAAGGGGCTCATTCTCAGAGCTAGAGCTTTCTCTGTTAACCTTTGAAAGTGGAAACGTATAAAAAGCTGTTGCTGCACTGCAACATGCTTCTATAACTATGACACCTCGAGCATGGAAAGGCACATGTAAAGATGGCGTAACTAAACCAACATGATTCTTTATGTTTACATATTTAGAATAGAATGATATACATTTTTATTCATGAGCTAACCAACTTGATTAAAAACATAAAAAATAAGTTTTCAAAACATATCATTTGGAAAAAAAACTCTTTAACATGGTATATATATAGAGGTAGGATATTATTTTCTGCTACAAAAATTTCCATTGCTATTTTTAGTTCACAACTGTTGCATAAAGTACTTTTTCCATAAAAGGCTCTCACACTTACAAATATAACCTCAAGATGATCAGTTGGCAAAAATAAAGACAAATTTATTTTAGACTGAAATAAAAAGGAAAAAAAAACCCCGAGAAATGTATTTTTAAGTATCTATTTAACAGCCCTAAAAGTAAAAACAAAGAAGTCCCCCAAGACTCCTTCTCTGGTTTACATGTGGGTCATGCCCTGGGTTCCTCAGGCTCCAGGTTCCGGTGCACCACACTGACAACCCCCTAGATCTCCTCATCTGGGCAACACATAGGTACCCCCACTTCAGGCTCCAGGTCCTAGTGCACCACACCAACACCAAGATCCCCTTGACTCGGTTACATACGGGTCCCACATACCTCAAACTCCAGGTCCCAGTGCACCACACTGACATCCTCGAGACCCCCATGTCTGAGTTACATGCAGGTCCTACCTACCTCGGCTCCAGGTCCCAGTGCACCATGCCAATGCTCCCTTGAGACTCCCATATCTCGGTTACACAGGTCCCACTCCCACCTCAGGCTCCAGGTCACAGTGCACCATGCTGATGCCTGCCAAGACCCCCATGTCCGGGTTACACGCAGGTCATGCCCTGGGTACTTTGGGCTCCAGGTCTCAGTGCACCATGCTGATGCCCTTGAGACCCCCATGTCTGGGTTACACACAGGCCCTGCGTACCTCGGGCTTCAGGTCCCGGTGCACCACGCCCACGTCATGCATGTGGCTCACGGCCGACACGAGCTTGCGCATGATGCCGCTGGCCTCTGTCTCACTGAAGTGCTTCTTCCTCTTGATGCGTTCAAACAGCTCTCCCCCATTCAGGAGCTCCATCACCAGGAACGTGTGGAGCTGGAGAGAAAGGAGCATGGTAGTCACCCAAGAGAAGAGCCGTAAAGTGGAACGCTGACCCACGCATCTGCCACCTCATTAAGATGACCCACAGCAACCCTGTCTCAGGGGAAAGGGCTGGAGGACATGCAGCTGCCTCAGAATTCTACTCTGGAGGTGGAAGACACCGGCCAGTGTCTTCACCCAGTGATCCTCTCCTGTCTCTCTGACTAGTCCTTTCATGTGTAGTACTTGGCTTTGTTTTAAGAGAGGGGGTCTCTGAGAGAAGGCTGGCCTTGAACTCCTGGGCTCCAGCGAGCCTCCCATCTCAGCCTCCCGGGCAGCTGGGACTGCAGGTGTGTACTACTGTGCCCAGAGATCCTCGATATGGCTCCATTCCAACACTCTGTCAAGTTCCATGCCTGTCGGTTTACAGCACGGCCCGCTGCTGATGACCACGGGAAATCAGGGCTTGACATGACACACAGCAGAAGATTACTAACTGAGCATGGGCAACTGACACATGAGGCCTGACACACCCATTTGATGGCAAACTTACCTTTTAAAAAAGGTATTGCTAGATATTGTCATGTTGAACCTTTGGTTGGGATTCAACAGAATAGTTTCAAGGTTCTTGAAACTAACTGCAAATACCCATCACTCACTGTGCATGTTTTAAAAAATTGCTTCTACAATAAATCAAAAATCAGCCGGGCGTGGTAGCGCATGCCTGTAATTCCGGCTACTTGGAATGCTGAGGCAGAAGGATCGCCAGAGCCCAGCAGGTCGAGGCTGCGGTGGCCGGGAGCGGCCACTGCACTCCAGTCTGGGCGTCAGAGTAAGACTCCAACTCAAAAAAAAAAAAAAAAAAAAAAAAATATTGCTTCTAATCCAAACAGCATTATTTTAATTAAACAGTTATTTTATGTTATGTATTTACTGCATTTTGCAAACGTCCCCTTTTTCCCCCCTGACCCTTTTCTGCGAGAATTTATAATTTCCATAAAGCAAATAACATAGGAGCCATCAAAAAGCAAAGGCCTTATATCAGCTCTCAAATGGTTTAGGAAAAGACCTCAAGTCAATATTCTGATTTCAATGCTAAGCACTGTAGCACCAACATTACTCCACAAACTAAATGTTTCCTTTTGGATTGGCAGAACTCAGAAAAGCTGCTTCATAAATAAGATGAAGTACATTGTCCTGAACACATTGGACAAACCGTAAGGGGTAAACAAGGCTTTTAAAGACAGTTGCTCCCAGGCTGCTAGAGATCAAGCTCGTGTGAGTTTCTACATCAGATAAAGTCCAGATTGAAGGTCTCCTACAATCATAGGCCAATGAACATTAAAAAAGAAGACAAAACCTGCAATGGCTTGAGGGACAGACTCAGAGTCAGATCTGGTTTGAATGACAGTTGTGTTGTTTATTCTCATCCTGGGGATGCAACTTCACTGCTATTAGCCTTAGGAGTCTTATCAATAAAATGTGGAGAATGAGAAAATGCACAGCTTAAATGATGGCCCTCCAAAGATGCCTGTGTTCCAGTCCCCAGAACCCGTGGGTCTCACCTAACTTGGCAAAGGAGACTATGCACATATGGCTCAGTTAGGGCCTTGAGGTGGGATGGCTGTCCCGAGTTACTCATCAGGGTCAGATGTGTGAGAGGAACCACAGAAGCAAGGGCAAATGGTGCACTGAGGGTTGTGAGCCTGGAACGTCAGTGGACCCGAAGAGCTAAGAAGGTCATCCTGAGTGACTCACCAGGGTCAACCATGTGAGGGGGACCATGAAGCAGGGGGCAAGTGACCACTGAGGGTCATGAGCCAGAGTGTGGTAGGCCCAGGGAGCTAAGAAGGCAGAAAGCAACGGCCCTTAGGGCCTCAGCAGGAGCCAGCCCTGCTGGACTTTACACCAGTGACACTGACTGGACATGTGACCCCTACACTGTAGGATAATAAATCCATGCTGTTTCCAGTGGGTGGCAACTGGCTGAGGAGCAGCAGGAGGCTCACAGACCATGCACACAGGAAGCGACACTAGCTCACAGCCCAGCAGAAGACCCAACACAGTAAGGGTCCCCGTCAGTGAGAAGAAGAAGGTGGGCACGGATGGTCCAGGCACCCGTGTCACCATCACAGAAAACCCAAGGTGCATTTCAGCAACTGCATGTTAGAATGCCAATGCATTCACACTAGTATGTGTAGGGTTACGTCATGGGACAGTTTCTACTTCAGTAACTCTTGAATATATAAGCAGCAAGTAATCAACTTAATTTGTAACATAAATTCAAAATTAAGGTGGCAGTTCCTCGGATCTGAGCTTAATCTGAAGGTCAGAGATCAAATGTCTCATCTGGATGGGGTGAGGGGAATAGCTGCTAAACCACTGAGGAGCCATCAGGGTCCCTGCTGACCTCTCAAGTGACAAGTGAGTTACAGCACCTTCAACAGGAGGGGGGCTGTCCAGGGTCCCCATTGACCCTTCAAGTGAAGTGTGAGTCACAGCACCTTCAGTAGTACTCTGTCCGGTCACTCACTTCCTAAGCACCTTTGGGGGGAAAATTATCTTGCCGGCATTGAAAGGCTTGGGAGGGCACATCCCCCCCACCCAAGCTTCCTGCCTTGGGGGCATTTCTTTTCTAATGATGAGAACCAGAAAGCAAGGAGAGATGGCACCCTGGGTGCTCACTGCAGTCATGGAAGCTAGCTTGCTCCCATCTCTTCAAGGGCAGCAGAGCAGAGCGAACCAAGATATGCTGAGCTGAGGCTGGGCCACAGGGCAGGTCCCAGTCTGGCACTGACAGGTGTGAGATCCTGCTACTCAGCTTCTGCGTGTATCTGTTTTCTCCCCTGCTGGAGTCACGTGAGGGCTGAGTAAGATCACATCCATGAGTGCCTAGTGTGGTGCCTGAATCACAGCAGGCACATGGCCTCAAAGGAACAGTCACGGGGGAGCAAGCTAGGCTGCCAGGGTGGTGTTCACGGTCACAGGCCCTGGGAGGTTTCGACATGGTGGAGAATGGGCTCTGTTGGAGGTCGCAGGTGTCCCAGCAGCACAACAAGAGCGCCCAGACCTGGAGCTCAGGTTGTCCCTTAAGATTTCTACCCACCTGCGTGACCCTGGATAGTACATGACTCTGCAAGGCCTCAGCTATCTCACTGGTTTATCAGGGCAAGGCTGGCAGGGGCACTCATGCCTCCAGGCTCTCCTGAGCAGGACTGCATCGTCCACCCAGTCTTGGGGAAGGCAAGAAGAATGGGAATGGGGCCATTTCTGGCTCAGGAGGTGGTGGGGGCTGAGGAGACATGGCCCATGGTCCTACTGGGAGGTGGAAGCGGGAGTGGTAGAGGAGGGGCGCACTGCCTGGATCAAGCCATCAGACGAGAGGGGGCATCTTCGCCCCATGACTCCCCTTTGTTCTTAGCCCGTCCATCAGGCTCATGATTCCTGAGTCCCCTGCAGAAGTGAGAAGAGGCTGGAGGCTTAGCATGCTCAGTGCTGTGGGGAGTGCCAGGCTCAAGCATTGGCAAGAGCAGTGGTATGGCTACCAACTCATGCAGCTGGATGGGCACACACTTCAGCCCCTCCCCCTGCCACACCACTGTGGTGACTGTTGAGCAAGAAAGGCAGGTGTGGAAGGATGGCCCGACATGGGATGAGGAGAGTATGGGGTTTCTCTGGTCTCTCTAGTACTGGGTGACATCCCATGCCCCTGACTCTGAGCCACCACTGCCAGCAAAACCAGTGAAAATGGAGTCTTGTATGTGAATTAGAACATACAGGAAAAACATGGCATACCTGGTCATGAAACACTTCATACAGCTTCACAATGTTGGGGTGTCCTTCACAGAGCTTCAGGGCTGCTATCTCTTTCTGAGTGCTGGCCTCCAGCCTGCAAGACCAACAGTGAGCACTGTGTCTCTGTAGGCATGATCTATGTCAGCACTGCCTGAAGCCTGCTTGTATGTTTATTTACAGTACATTTGGAACAGATATGTCAAAGTTTTAGAACAAGGTTGCCATGAGAGCAAGGAATCACACAACCCACCCAAAAAAGGAAGACATTATTCTGGAGAAAATTATTATTTCTAAGTCAGAAAAGTGCTAATCATATAGAGAACAGAAGCTCTACTTGCCTGACAATTTGGTCATAAGAATATATAATCATAAGGAAAATGATCAGTTACTAAAACAGCTAGCTGGATCTTAGAGCTGCCAGCAGCTTGCTAAATAATCTCAGATAAAAGTATTCACATACGCAACCCATAGCAATGGTAGCAGCTGCTGAAATCACTGTGAGACCGAATACATACATCACTGCTATCCACAAATTTTCTCCTGACAGATTCAAAAGCATGTCCATCTATGATTCATGTCTAATGTGGATTCCCTTGTCAGAAAACATCCACGAGAGCTAGAAGGTGAGGGGTCAGTTGGTGAGTCGTATGGTGCGCCTGCAGGCAGAAGACTAAGCTGGACTGTGGCTCGCATCTTAAACTCACAGAATCCACTGACGAGTTACGAATAGATTTGAAAGGCCACAGAGGCCAGTGTACCTCCGGCTGATGATTTTCACTGCAAAGGCCTGGCTGCTTTTCTTGTGGATGCATTTTCGGCAGATGGAGAAGCTCCCTTCTCCTAGTGGCCTGTCACTCAGATCCAGGTCGTAGTGCTGGTAGAATGGGGAGTCCTAATGGAGGCAGGAGTCGCTTGAGGAAATGTTAGTAACACGCATGGGTAAACAGGATTGTGGGGTGACACGGAATATTAATATCAGGAATACTAATAGAACACATTCATCATTGAAAAGCCATCTTGCTTTAATTTCTATTTTCATTTATGTCATTTATTTAAGATCCATAATTCTCTATCATTGTAAAAAGAAGCTCATGTAAATTGATGTTAACAATTCTCTAGGGAAAATCTTGTTATTTCCATTTTTCATTTTTTAAAATCGCACATTAGTTAAGTGGCAAATCTATTAATTTCACTGGACTCAAGAATGTCAGTGCTGGTGTTCAAGCTCTGTGTGACCACAAGCATGTCATATAAGCCACACATCTCCGCACCTTCAGCATTGCGCTCCTGGCGACGTTCATCACCCCGGGACGTTCAACTCCCACATGGAACTGAAGAGGGTCTGTGACAGCAGCGTTGCGCTTGAACAAGATGGAAGGAGCGACAAAAGAGTAGCCCTGAGAAGGACAGGAAAGGCAGACAATAACGACGGGCAGTTTCCAGTCTCACACAGACTCAGCTGTAATGATCTTCTTAGAAACAAATATTTGTTGACATGAATCTAATTTTCTTTAATTTACAATTCAAAATTCAGAGTAATTCCAAATCAACTGAAAGTGCTTTCAGAAGGAGATAATGCCATCTTCTGGTAGAATTAAAGCAATTCAAAGTAAAAAAGAAGAAGCCAGGCTTGGTGGCTCAGCCTGTAATCCCGCGCTTTGGAGGCTGAGGTGAGTGGATTGCCTGTGCCTGAAGGTTCAAGACCCGCCTGGGCAACTTGGTGAGACCTCATCTCTACAATAAATAAAAAAATTAGCCGGGCGTGATAACGCACACCTGTAGTTCCCCTACTTGGAAGGCTGAGGCAGAAGGATCACCGGAGCCCAGCAGGTCGAGGCTGCGGTGGCCGGGAGCAGCCACCGCACTCCAGTCTGGGCGACAGAGTGAGATTCCAACTCAAAAAAAAAAAAAAGAAAAAAAAGAAAAACAGAAGAAAAAGACTCCCTCTCTTTTCCACCCCAATGTGACTGGCAGCTGGAATTCTGCATGCCTAATAAAAGTTCACCTATAGATACAACTAAAAATATACAGTCATGACATTAAAACAAGTGGTTCAAGATCTACTGTTTGTCAAACTAGAAAAATAGCAAGTTTCCTTAGTTTCTAATTTAGCAATTACTTGACTCATGTGTTTTTCAGAATAATTGAATCTACAATTGAGTTTTGGAAAGGAACACAGAGCCAGAAGGGGTATAAGGATGGACGATTAATTCACTCAAGCCAGCACATTCAGTACTTCATCCATAAACTTCTATTTTAAACATCTAATAAGTGCCCAGTCCGGTGCTAGACAGTGAAAGAAAAGAAAGACATGGCCTAGGTGACCAGATTAAACTATACCAAAGGTACATATAGGAGTCAGAAAAGGAAAATGAGGATGCCATTCAACGTTAAGATCTTCTACCTCAAGTTTGATAAAGATCCTTCTGCAAATAGAAAATTCTTTCTAAGTCTTTTTTAGGAGTAGTAGTTAAGACTACTCACTGAAGACAAAGAATCAGATAACATTGTGAACTAAAGAATATTTTATGTAAACAGAGGTAAAATAATGTATTATTGTATTTTCTATAAAAGAGCCTGAATAAAAATAAAATTTCAGGTATATTAAGACTTCTAGGCTGGGTGCAGTGACTCACGCCTATAATCCCAGTACTTTGGGAGGCTAAGGCAAGAGGACTACCTGAGTCCAGGGGTTTGAGACCAGCCTGGGCAACATGGTAAGACCTTATTTTTACAATAAATCAAAAAATTAGCCAGATGTGGTGGTGTGCGCCTGTAATCCCAGCTGCTAGGGAGTCTGAGGTGGAGGGATTTCCTGAGCCCAAGAGGTCGAGGCTGAGGTGAGTTGTGATCATGCCACTGCACTCCAGCCTGGATGACAGAGTGAGACCGCAACTCAAAAAAAAAAAAGACTTCTTTATCTCAAAAATAAACACACAATATCTGTTATTTATCAAACCATTAGCTTCAGCTAACAATCTGCAACATCTCTGTACTTAATATTTCTGAAGAGACTAGAGAACCCCATTTTAAAGCTTTCTTTCAAAGCCCATCTGCCAGCACCCACAAATCTGGGTGGGGAATACCTGGAACAGCCTCTCACAGCTTTGGGGCAGGGCCGCTGGGGAGTAGGTAGGGTCCATCTCCGTGAACTCCTCCGCGAAGTTGCTCACGTCCAGCTCGTCACGGATGACTGGCTTAAACGGCGCTGGCACTTTCTTGGCAGCTAAATCTTCCCAATTTATTTTCTAAAGCAGAGAAAGAAAATTAGTACAAAATAAAAGTCGACAAAGCTCAAATATATCTTCTAAGAACAATAAAGACTAAATATTAGGGTTTTAATTGATTAATAGAGAATGAGAGAGGCTAAAAACGAGGGCAAGTATTTCAGATCAAGACTTAAAAACATATTTTTTCCGAGTAAGTCATGCATTTTAACTGTAGCTCAGGCTCCAGAAAGGTCGTGAAGACAAGGCTGCTTTCTATCACCCCTGGATCTCGGAGGGTCCTCTGGGGGCACCAAGACCCCTGGTTTATTTTTGTCCTGAGCCTCCTGAGAAAGGCATTAAGCCAAAAAGAAAACGAGCAAACAAACAACACAAAACAATAGAACAGAACAACAAAGCGAAGGCTCCCAACACCCCGTGGACGTCAGCTCTGATGACTGTCCGCACGCTGGCCTGTGTGCTCCCCCTGTCTCTGGACCAACAGGAAGATACGCTGCTCACTCTACACCATGGAAAGGCTCGTGCCTGTAAGCCTGAGTGTGATGATCAAACTGACACTAGAACCGCTCTCTCCTCACTTGCACTCAAGTGTCAAAACGCCACCTCTCGCCTCCCCACAGAACCACCCCCCACCATGTCCCTCACTGCCTAACTGTGTTTATGTGACTCTGCCTCTCTATGCCCCTGCTGGTCACTCACAACCTTGGAGACCACTTACTGAACTGAGTCCCACATTTCTTCACATCTAAGATGGCATCGCTGATTGCAAGCTATGCCATGATTTCATGTGTCATTAAGAAAAAAAACATTAAAAGCGAGATGGTGAGATGATGTCCACTGTAACATGTACTGATCTCAGTGATGAAAAACATAAAAGTCTGCACTTCTTGGCTGATGAAACTCAGAGAGTTTAATCCATGACCATAAAATGTTTTAGCTGTGCTTCCTTGTGGAGGCAATAGAAATAATTTTTTTCTTGAGTTGGAGTCTCATTCTGTCACTCAGGCTGCAGTGCAGTGGCATGATCATGGCTCACCGCAGCCTCGAACTCCTAGGTTCAGGTGATCCTTCCAACTCAGCCTCCCAAGTAGCTGGGACTACAGGTTCATACCACCACACCTGGCTAATTTTTTTGGTAGAAACAGGTCTTGCTATGTTGCCCAGGCTGGTCTTGAACTCCAGGGCTCAAGCGATTCTCCTGCCTGGGCCTCCCAAAGTGCTGGCAATACAGGTGTGAGCCACTATGCCTGGCCAAAATAAAACAACTAAATTAAAGATCTTCATATTTTTCAGTTAGATGGAATTTAGAGATCATTTAGTTCATCTTCTTTATTTGATCCAAAAGGAAACTAAAGCCCATAAAAAGAACCAGTTTTCCTTCCAACTCCAGCTGGGAAAGAGCCAGGACTTGAGTGCAGTCTGACTTTCCAGCTTGTGATTTTTTTCTGTAAGCAGCTGTAATGTTCTCCATGATAAGTATACGATTTATACTTGGCTTTGTACATACATTAAGAGAGAGTTTCAGAGCAAAGGGGTAATTTAAAGAAACACGTTGTTAGCAGGAGAATGCCTAATATGTAGAAAATGGGATGCTATTATGATCCGTTTCCCTCCTGCTCCATTTATAGAGAAAAAGGCCATTTAGACCTTTAGAAGTAGAATTCTGGTCTTTCTGTAATTGTCCCAATCATATACAAAGACAAGGCAATTAAGTAATCTAAAATTACTATTCCAGGCTATCAGAAAGAGGAATTTCTCTAATAGAAAAGGCATATTGCAGTATTCATAAATACTGGGAACAATGGAGAAAAAGACTTGAGGAAAATATAATGGGGGATATTTTGCTTGAATATGTTCTTGAATATTACCTGATTGTTAATTTTTGAGATAAACTTCTGAACAAGATATTGGAAAGTTTGTTCAAACAGTAATCTTTCCAAGTCATATGAATCTACAAAATGCATAATGAGAAGTTCATTTTATTCTAAATGTATTTCTCATGATGTTACTGAACTTCTGTAAGATGTGTAGTAATATTTCTAAAAATGATGACTGAGAAAATAAAATAAACATGCTTTTTGAGAAAGAAGTGCAGAGAGATCATTTTAATTTTTAATCAGTATTTATTTTTCTATATTTAAAAACAGCAAATAACAATATGAGAGCTTACTTGAGAATAGTTCTTTCAATGTTTTGGTATGCGCTTTCCATTTGTTTTGGTGACAATACTGTAAAAGTTTAATTTATAAAATAAAGATAAAACATAGATGGTCCCTTTAGACCATAACTATTTAGGTCATGCTTATCACGCTTATGGGTATAGTGAAATTATTTAAAAGTCATGGCTCAGGGTTTTAGAAATACAAGTCATGCTTTCCAGGTTTTATCATTTAAACTGGAAATAACTAGTCAACTCCACTTTTTTCTTCCAGTTATTTAATATTTTGGTGTTTACTGAACTAAATTGAGCAAACTAAATCGAGCAGATGTGTTGGTGCTCTGTAGAAAGGTCTCGCCGGGTTTTTCCAGAAAGCACTGTCATAGAACAAAGAAAATCAGTGACTACTCCCCATGAGTCAAGAATATGTAACTGAGAAATAGGTAGACTTAAACTTTTACAGATGTCCCCGGGAAACAAAGAAGCCATGACATTACTCTCTAAAAGGTGAGGCACAATGGCAGTTAACAGCTCATAAATGGAGAGAAAAGGAGAAAGTACAATGGAAGTCTCCTTAGCCCAGAGGCCTAGGTTTCAAGATCACAAGTGGAAACCATGCCCAGAAACTCTAGCCAATGAGTAGGCAGGAAATGGAATGAGCCTTCCCTTCACTCCACAGGGAGAAAGACTTCTCAGGCCTATTCAAGCAGCACTGTGGGCATTCCCAAAGGGTATCTGTCATAAAAAAAAAAAAAAATGATGCAAGATATGTGAAGAAGGGTGGGGCTGTGCTCACTAGGCCCCCAGAACGCCATGCCCAGAACAGCAGGCGTAAGACCGTCTGCTCCAAGACCTCACCTGGAAGAACAGGTGCTCTTTGATCTCATCCGCATCACGTGGGCCACATCCCAGCCTCTTCTTGGGGTCCTTCATCAGAAGGTGCTGAATGAGGTCTTTTGCTAATGCACTCATTTCTTGGGGATATGGAGGCTCACTTTTTAGTATTCTCCTGTGGGCAAATAATACTTGCGGTTAAGATCACCCACAAATGGAGTTAGGTTGATATTATTTTTAGCAAAAACAAGTATGGTGAAACACGTTTTGAAGCAGAACTACATGGGAAGGAGAGACAAAAATACCTAAAATGTTACAATAATAGCTCGACAAAGTTGAAAAAATATTTAAAATGAGATACTGTGAAGTCAAACTTCTGATACTCAAATGAGCAGAAACAAAAAACATTGGCTCAGTTTTCAGCATAAGTCAATCTTAATGGAAGGTTATATACCCCAAAGCCTTCACCAGGAGAAAAGAAAAGACTTGGGGTCAGATTCAACCTTCCATAAACAGATGAGGCTCCACGATGAAAGATTCACAACACAAACAACTCTTAGCAAATTCAGATGAGTAATCCAACTCTCAGATTTAAACTGACAAAAGAGGACAGTTGTGTCTACCTCACTCCCCTGTCCCTGTGCCAGCAGGCCCAAGGGGAGCAGTGGGAAAGCAGGAAAGTCGATGGAGAAGGCCAGCGAGACACTTGGACATTTGACTCTTGACACTAAGCACAGATGCTGGAGCTGGGCTTTCCTAGCGGAAAAGCACCCGCTTCATTTTCTGCTGCCATTACATACTGGGCAAGGATCTGTAGGCAGGTGGTGCTCAGAGACGAAGTGAAGTCTACTGGGTATTATGAAAACAAAAAGTAAGACTGGTGCTTCTGGATGAGAAATCTACTCCAAGGTCACAGAAGAAATCAAGCTAAGCCAGTGGACTTTCTCCTCCTTAAAATACAGATCAACAATGAAAAGAGTTGATTGAAATTAATACCTTAATGCAGTGTACTCAAAGATAAAGTTACTCCATTATTTAAGTTTGCAAAAGATCTTCTATTGTGCATTAAAATATTAATAACCATCATGGAACAAAAGCATAATGTGTAAAAGACAGTACGGTGTGGTAAGAACATGGACTCTGGGGACAGACTGAGTTCAATGCTGGCTCAGTCTTGACTTGTGTGACCTTGAGACAATTAGTTTCTTTGTGCCTCAGTTTCTTCACCTGTAAAATAAGGATAACAGCATCAACCAAAAATAGGGGTTATGATGCATTAGGTTGTGACCACGTAGAGTGTTTTACATGGCAGATGCTTGGTGGTATGAGCTGCTGCTGGATACCTGCATCCCAGGGCAACCACACAGAAAACAGGCCAAGGAACTGTACCAATAGCCATTGAGAACCGGTGAAATGATAGCAAAACTGTAATTTCTAACACAACTCCAGGAGTGTTGGAATCTCAAAGTGAAGCCTGCTCCCAGGCACTCCATTCTGGGGACTCAAGCAAAGGCTGGTAGAACAGGAAGGAAGCAAGCTGCACCCTCCCTTCCCCTGCCAACCACCCACTGCTGCTCAGGGTCTCTTCTCAGACCAGCAGACATGTTGGAGAGGATTCAGGAATCTTGGTTCTGGGGGAAAATTACATAGCCCCTCCCATCTGCTTCAGCATGGCTTTCTGCAGGAGGAAGAAAGCCTCTGTGAAGGACCCAACAGAGATAAGCCTGGGTGTGCACCTGGCTGCCCCATCTTGCACGCTGACTCTGCACCACCCATTACTGCTCAAGCCCCAACGTGTTACCACATGTGTTGAAATCAACTCCGCACCAGGCACAGGTCCTGTGAAGACATACAAGAGAGGAATGTCCACCCAGCAGGACCAACATGGGAGGGAGCTCTGCAGGAGGCCCAGTCTGGAGCAAGAACACATAGAGCCCACAGTCACCAGTTGGGGACCGTGCTAGGCCCACACACAGTGCTGTGTGCAGCTGAGGCAGGTGGCAAGTGCAGGGTACCGAGTTGGAAACATAGGTGCAGGTGCACCAGGGCCTGCCTGCATCAGAAGGAGTTGCGTGGAAACCAGAAAGAGTTTCTGCTAAGGGAGCATGGAGGGCCCCAGGGATGACCCAGAGCCCTTCCCAGAGTAGGAATCACCTCATCCTGCTCCCTGCTGTATCCCAGGGGCTTCAAACCTGCTTGGAGCAGAGCAACTTGACAACTGTGAGTGAGGGAACAAACACCTAACTATTCTCCGCTCATTCCATCACTCCGCTTTCCGCTCACTCAGGGCAGTCTCCTCACGGCTTCCACAGGAGACCTGCAACAGCCCTTCTGCAGACAGCAGGCACTCCTGGGGTTGGTGTCTTTCTACCTGTCCTCCATTTAAAGGTGATACTCTTCCCACTTTGCTATTTACACTGACTTTTACTTCCTGGTTCCTATGTGGTCCCAGAATTAAAGAATTTTTTATATGCCTGCCTGAGTTAGAAATAGCTTCCAGTAACTTCACTTACTCTAAATTTCTGTCTGACACTGGGGGAAAGGATATTGCAGGGTATCCACATAATTGTATGCTACCCAGCCACCAGAAAATTATGTTCACGAAGAGCCACAGGAGTCTGGAAGCAGGTCCCTTCCCAGTGAGCACTGAGATGCTACAGCTCAGCCAGTGCTGAGGTTGCAGCCTGAGAGGCCTTGGAGGACCCAGCTGAGTCATGTCAGCTCCTGATCCACGGAAACCATAAGATCAAAGGTGTCTGTTATTCCTAAGCCACTGAGTTTGGAGTAATTTGTTACTTGGAGATGGAAAGTGTAAAACTGAGAGAGCCAGGCAATAGATTTTAGCTTTGCACATAGAGGTCCCCATGGAAACTACTCAACTCTTTCCAAGAGACTCTGAGAAGCCGCGTGAAGGAGCAATCACAACCGTGGTCTACAATGACAAACATGGATGAACATGTGAATTTCACACAACTGTCACATGTCACAAAATACTATTCTTCTTTTGATTTTTTTTCCAGCCATTTAAGAATGTAAAAGCCATTCTTAGCTGACAGGCCACACAAAAGCAGGAAGCAGGGTGGCCTTGGCCTGGGGCTGTGGTCCGCTGACCCTTGACCCAAAACAGTACCAACCAGAACTCTGTTCAATACCATGACTTTGATACCACTTGGGCCTGGGTTTATATAATATTATGCTTATAATAATATAATAAAACATTAACAAGGCATATTTTATTGACAGAAAATGAGATACCAAATAAACATCTCTTGGCAACTATTTTCTACATGCCAAAGGCAGAGACAGAGAGACCAAGAAAAACCCTGAGATGGTGAAAGAGACACAAGTACAACCTCTACGTTCCACTTCTCAGGTGTGGGTGCATTCAGTTGTCACAGGTTCCTTGTAGAGGCAGGTAGGATAGCCAGTGGGATCTCTCAGGGGAGAGTACTCGCAGGGCAGCAGTACCATGTCCTTGAAAAGTTCCGTATGGAAAGGCAACGGAAACCAGTAGAAGACACAGGAGTAAGAAATGCAAATGCTGCCCATGTAGGACATGGAAATAGACTCACAGGAAGGAGTGAGATCAGTATTGATCTCAGTACTCTAGTACTGGGCTTAATATTTGTCCAAAATGGTGCTAGGATATGAGGATTCTGGAAACAACTTCACATGAATTATTGAAAGAACTAGAAACATTTATCCTGGACAAAACTGCCTTCAAATTCTTAAAGCAATGTCTGAAGAGAAATCACACAACTATTCTATGTTCTTGAGAAGACAGGATCAAGATTAACTGAGATTAGAGGAAGATCATCTCAGTTTATTTTAAAGGGGGAAAAACCCAGTACAGCCAGTTGTCCACTAATGACACAGCTTCCTTGAAAGCGCCTTATACACCAGTACCCTCCTTCCAAGGTGCACAAGGCCCTCAGGGGTCTGGCAGATGACAGGATCCCGACATCAGGAAGAACTCTAAGTGTTCTTTTCATTCTGAGCTCTTCTCATAGTTTGAAATTTGACATACCAGAAGGACAGTTTTATTCTAGGCAACAATGGCAAACATAACTTGGATAATACATGATTTTGAGTCATCTCAAATACAAAGTACAGGAAGTATGCAGAGTTCAGGGAAGACCATAATGATTAAGGAGTAGAGAACTCAGTGATGAGGAAAAGCCTTAGCCAATTAAGACGCTGGGGGACAAGATAATGATAGCATTTATCTAAATGATACATGTTTTAAGAAAAACAGACTATGACAGATTTTATGCCAGGAAAGACAATCAGAATGATTATCTTAAAGGAAAATAGGATGTGGGCTGATTTGGTTATTACACTGTTGGTAAATTTCTGTCTCAAAAAACCCCAAGGAATAACAGGTTGATACCACACTTTAAGCATTATTAACATAACAAAGTGGATAATTAATCGATTATGGAGAAGGAATTCTACCTAAATTCTTGAAAAACCTATTTGCTCTAGTTTTAAGATTTTAGACAATCTGACTCAGGCTTTCTTTCTCAAACAAGAATGCCAATTGACTAATATAAGGGGAATAAAAAAAGGAAGTTAAAATCGAGCACCACAATGAGCACTACATTACTGGAAAGACTTTGTACGGCCTGTTTCCATTTCCCTGGAAGTTACCCAGGGGTGGTGTGATGGGTCACACAGTAGAGCAGGTCTGACTTTTAAGAAGCCGGCTATTTCCGAAGTTGTTGCACCACTTCACCTTCCCCTTGCTGCTCCTGTGCACATACCCAGCATGCCGCAGGCCAGGCTCTATTTAGCATCTTTGTGGGCACAGCTCTTCACGGAGGCTTTAATCTGTATTTCTTCCTTGGACAGCAGTGACGCTGACCATCTCCCCACGCCACCTGCCCCCAGGTATTTTCTGTCTGTTTAGATTCTTTGTCCATTTTTAAATGAAGCTGCTTTCTTGAGTTCTGAGAATTCTTCATATATTCTGGATACCAGTCCTTTCATAGACATGAGATTTAAAACTGTATTCCAGGCAGTCTTCATTCTCTTAACAGTTTCAAAGAGCAGAAGTATTTAATTTTGATGAAGCCTGATTCATCAATGCTTTCTTTTACAGATTTTTATTTTTTGTGTCATACCTAAGAAATCCTTACCAAACCCAAGCTGCACAAAGACTCTCCTTTGTACTTTGCAGAGAAGTTTTAGGCTTTACACTGAGGTCTCCCATTCACTTGAAATTCATTTTTCTGCAGTGTGAAGTATTTCTTGAAGTTCATTTTTTTATCTGGATAGCCAATGGTTCCAGCACCATTTGTTGAAAAGACTATGTTTTATCCAACAAAGTAACTTTGAACCTCTGTCAAAAATCAGCTGCCATAGATTATGTCTATCTTGATACCAACACCACAGAGTCTTGATTCCTGTAGCTTATAATAAATCTTGAAATCAACATTGTTTTATTTCTTCAAAGGTGATTTGGCTATTCTAGGTCTTCTGTATTTCCATATGAATTTTAGACCCAGGTTGTTAATTTCTTTTTTTCTTTTTTAAGAGATAGGGTCTCCCTCTATCACTCGGGCAGTGTTACAATCATAGTTCACAGCCTCGACCTCCTAGGCACAAGTGATCCTCCCATCTCAGCACTCTGAATAGCCGGGACTACAGGTGTGCGCCACCATGCATGGTTAATTTTTAAATTTTTTTGTAGAGATGAGGTCTTACTGTGTTGCCTAGGCTGGTCTTGAACACCTGGTCTCAAGCGATCCTCCCATCTCAGCCTCCAAAGTTCTGAGATTACTGGTATTAGTCACCATGCCCAGCTCAATTTCTACCAAAGCAAAAAAAAAAGTCTGCTGGAATTGTGACTGCATGGAATCTACAGCTCACTTTGGAGAGTAATGACATTGCCGTTATCCTGTTGCCCTCTCACCTATGTGTTTATCAGTCTTCAACTGAATACCTCTGCAATCCCTGGATTTCTCTCTGTTGCTCTCTCCTCCCTGACACTCTGGTCTCCAGTGTGGCTGTTGGTCTTCCTATTGGCTCCACTTCAGCTCTGCCGGCCTCCCCACTGTTTGGCAGCCTGAAACCTCTCTAGGCAGTCAGCCGGGCAGTCGCAGGCGTACCTCATCTGCTCGCTACCTCTCAGAAGACCACTGTCCCTCACTGCCAGGACCCTCTTGGTCTTCCCAACCACTGTCTCATGTTAAAATTGTGACAGGGAGGAAGCTAAGCCTGGTCTCTGTCATTCTATCTTCTTTGGAAGTGGAATCTCAAATTTTAATTTTTCATGTCAAATCCATTCTCAAAATTATAAAATTCAAGTAAAAATAGGACAAAAACATAACTAGTAATTAGTATCATGATTATCACTGTTCACTTATTTGTTCATCAACCCATTTCACTCCACAAATATTTACTGAATTCTATGTAGTAAGTATTGAGAATTAAAGCCAGACATGTCCCTTGCTCTCACAGAGCTTAGTCTAGCAGGACAGACACACAGTAACCAAATAATTATAAACAGAAATGTAGCACTGCAACTGTGCTATCTGCTGTGAAGACCAAGAAGAGAGCAATGCCATGAGGACCTCTAGGAGGGTGACTTTCTGGTATTTGTTTCTACTGAGCCTACATCCCTGAGTAGAAAGATATCATTACATTTCTGTCACAAAGAAATTACATTATGTATATAATGGGAAAGAAGTACCCATGAAGTATGCTTCTCCATATATAGTGTACCTCCTGGGGGTAAGACAAGATGCTCAGTGCTCTGGAGCATGCAGACATTAGAATACCACAGATCATAATTTACATTTCAAATCTAATTGGGCACATAAAGTCAGTATAAGGAAACAGAAAGGCTATACATTTCCTGTATAATGTGAACGGAAATTGGCCACTTAACATCATTTTGTCTATCTCCAATAAAACAGTTATTTTTTTCATCGGTCTAACTACAGAATTTTGAGAAAACAAGATGCTTATTTTATCTTGTCACATCTTACCTGGAGATCTCCGCTTGGGAGTTTTTTTCTCCATCGACAGTGAAAGGCGATGCTCCAGTGAGTAGCTCATACATGAGGACACCCAGACTCCACCAGTCAACTGCCTACAAAACAACAGTCAGCTCACTTACAGGGTTACCAACTGAAATAGATCTCATAAGAGCGAACGAAATACTTTAACAAAAAGATTTTGTGCAGTTTTCTGTCTGAATGTTAAATTAACACATTCCGAAAGCCCTTCAGAAGACAAGTCTGCAGGTTCCTCAGCACAGACAGTATTTTAATTATTTCCTAAATTAGTGACAGTTTTACCTTGATTAATTAAGAACATTTAAAAATTTTTAAGCATTGAAAAAATTTAAGTATGTGAAATCTTTGGGCTTATGACAGGGAAAAAAAGTACCAATTAGCATTTTTTAATCAACTATTCTGCTTCAATGAACCTTAAGACGCCTAAATCAATTCTCTTATAGACCCTATTACATAAATCTAAGTGTCTTCATTGATGGGAAGATTTAAAATAATATAAAATAAAATGTGTTCTAATTTCAAAACTAACTTATAAGTACAATAACCTGAATTGAGAGCACAACAAATTATATACGGTTTCAAGAATCTTGATGTATTGAAAACTGTTTCTTTTGTAATTAGGTAAACCAGGATTTCAATAACATTTGAATATATAAGCTTACATTAGTGAGAAACATTAACCGGATGTTAAAATTTTAAACTATCTGCTTCCAAATTTCAGGGCCTTAGTTTTAGAGAGGTGACACATGAGCCTAGGGCTATTTTAAAGAAAACATGGAACACTGGCATATAAAACCAGATCAGGTAGATGAAATCATGAGTGGAAAAGTGCTGGGGGATTCTCCGTGCTGGCACTGTCAGGTGTGCTTTGCATTCAGTTAACTCACAGTCCATTCAGTTAACTCACAGTCCTTGGGTGCCCTGGATGGAAAAGAGCATTCATGATGAGCTGTACTCTGGCCCTCAGGGAGGCAGGATTCTGGGAGTGATATGAGCTTTTCTTATGTGAAAATTGGTTCCATTACGTCTTATAAGATAATTTTCAAATTTTAACAGTTATAAATTCCTACCAAATTTCCCAGTACCTTCAAAGAATGCCATGAAGCAAACAAAGCCAGCAAGTCAAGTCTGCTCATACAAGCAGTGGCCCTGCCTTGAGTCAGACGCTCAGAACGTCTCATTGTTGGATCTGAAGTCATGTCCTCGACTAATACAGACCAACAATCAGATTCCTAGCCACACATTCAGTCCACAGCCACACGAGCTTGAAGAACGTGCTTGTAAAGATAAGCTTGGTCATCAGAAACGAGACCAAGGATTCTATATAGCCAGGTACTTGAATGGTATATGTGGGGCTTTGAAAGAGAATGAGAGAAAAGGAAAGATGGGGAGCAGAAAACAGAGTTCTTTGTTTGGAGAAAGGTATTAATAAGGCAGAAAGAAGTGTTAGGAAAAACTGAACAAATTGTGTATCCTTTAATACATGAAGAAAAAAACATGACCTAGATTTTATAACACAATTACTTACAAAGTTCCTTCTAGAATCTTTATTTTGCACATGAAAGGGAAGTGAGGAGAACACAAAACACAAAACAAAAACAAGCTTTTTAGAGGGTTTAGGAAAACAAACTCAGACACACCAGAATGCAAGACACCTTCCTTTCTTTCAAGGGTTATTGCAATATTCATCTCTGCTGGAAACACCAGTCTCTCTGCCAAGTGAAAGGAAGAAATAGGGGAACAAGAAAATACGAGTAATTCCCTCTGCAGTGACTTCTCAGTGACCTCTGAGAAGGTAAATATTAATTAACGCAAAATATTAACTAACGCTATACACATGACTATACAATTCTGTAGGTTTTTCCAGCAGAAATTAATGCCAGTAAGCACTGTCCAAAACCATTCATTGCAATTCAGACAGAAACAGTGTGCACAGTTTTTGCATTCGGTGACACCTCTCTGTGTTGCACTGTGATTCCATTGTATCCTAAATACCAAGGTCCCATGCAAAAGAAAAAGAATACTTTTGTTTCTAGAATGGAGTCATAATTTGTGCTTTGCTTAGAATATAAGCCCTTTTGATGAAAATTTAAAAAAAGTTATTTGAAGAATTAGTCCGTTTTGAGGTCTTAACTTTAACAAGAGTGTTTCTCTATTAAATAAAACAAAATTCTCATCAGTAAAACCTTAAAAAGGTACATCTAGAATTATCTAACCTTTCTATTATATCTTAACACCATAAGGTGTTCAGGTGTACAAAGCAAAAGAAAGGAAAAAAACTGAAGGTGACACCATCAACAGCAAGGAGGGTGTGGCTGAAGAGCTGGCACCTGAGCTATTAACTGGGATTCCTACACGTTTGTAGAGAAGAATCAAAATGGAACTGTACCTTGTCATGTCCGGAGTCTCCCCCTTGGACGATATCCGGTGCCATGTATTCAATAGTTCCACAAAAGGAATATGCTCGTTCAGTCTTGAACAAACAAACAGAAAAGGGCTGTGATTGCAAGCCAGCACAAGCGACAAAAGAAGAGACTTCATAACACTCGTCGGTGGTTGAGATACACCAGCAGCAACACAGTGGCAGAATTCACACAACAGCCCTCTCATCCCCAGGACAGACTGTCACCTACACAGGTTGAGACCTGGGTAAATGGCCCAGTGTAAGGTTACTCTCCCCCTAGAAGCTAAAAGGAGTAGTCCCAGCATGGTTCACTGGTGAGGTCAGGCAGGGGAAGGGCACAGCACAACACCTATCTCCGGAGTGGGGGCAGGAAAGCTTCAAAGGTCGTATTTTATAAACCACAGTATAAAAAAGTCAGAACAATATAGCACAATTCTTTTATGATTATAGTTTATTGTTTGTTCAAAATATCTTTACAGCCTTAATTTTTCCTAGAAGAGAGGCCATCAATCTATTTAACATTTATGTCCATACTATTTTATAAGCAACCTTACCATTAAAACTACCACAAAATTGTGCATTAAAATTTACTCGAATATGAGTGAAAATGGCAAAAGTAGCATGTATGCACTCTCCTGGCAGAGAATATGGAGTATTCATGTGTTTAAGTAATCAGGAGAACAAACAGGCTTCATTATTTCTTAGAGAAAAGGACCCAAAAACTAGTTTCCTACTAAGGAAGACTCCCGATGGAAACTCAACCGCCAAGTTTAAGTACTTTTCAGTGAAGACTTACTTGATGAAATTATTTCTAGCTTTTCACTGCCAATGGTTTGTCCTTATCTGTTTATGACAGATACATTTATGAGTTAAACACAAAATTGCCAATGAAAACAGGTAATTCCTCATCCTGTATTTGGCAAGATTCCTCATTTTGGCAAAATCTCTTTGGGATGAATGCCTAGAATTGTCTGATTTTTAAAAAACAAGTGTTGCATTCTAATCACTCAAGGCTATGCTCCCAAAGAAGACGGGGGAAGCCTTGGGTGCCAGCCAGGAAGAGGATGCAGAGAGCCAGGGAGGTGGGCCTCCAACACCACAGCTGCGTGTGGGGGGGGGCGGGGGGGTTGAGCTGCCACACGTCTCAGAACCAGGATCCTGAAGTGTACACCCTTGTGAGGACAAAAGCTGAGACCCTCAGCTCCGATGAGGTGGGGAACCACCACTCCTACACAAACCTTGAGAAAGCAAAACCCTCCCTGAGACAAATTCTGGAAAAATAAATTCACCCACTAGCACAGGTTTGCTTCTATTTAGGGCCTAGCTTAAAAAAAAAACAAATAAACATTCCTCTTGTGATATCAAATCCCTGTGTTTCTGTGGATGTGGGGTCTCATGGTATGGAAATGTGGGACAATCTGGTTAAACATGGTGATACCCTGAGCCTCATCACAGAAGCACAGACATTCCCACACTTAGCTGGCCCAGGATTCCAAGATAAAGCCCCAGAGTCTTGATCTTACTAAATGAATGAACTAGACTCCAAACACACAACAAACAGGATTACTTGAAATAGTAGAGAAACAATCTATAAAAGACTTGTATGTTATAGAAGACATAAAAGAAGAAAAATATCTGTACAATAGAGCAGCATAGAAAAGATTAGAAACATGTAAAAAGAATCAGAGCTATACAAATGAAAAATAAAGTAATAAAGAAGGCATATTAAACGTATTAGACACAGCTACAGAGAGAACAAGTAAATCAGAAAATACATTTGAGAAAATTATCCAGAATGTTAGAAAACCCCCAAGCAGACTAAATAAAAATATATCCACGAGTGACCAAGTTCTATTTCTTCACTAGTGGTGGTTACAAGGGTGTTGCCTTATAATAATTCACTAAGCCATACATTTATTTTGTTTTTGAATGTTTTATTTTATAATAAAAAGATATTTTAAAAATCACAGGTCCTGGGACTTCTGGCAAGATGGCGACGGGGTAGCCTAGTCTGTGAGACCCTCTGCAAAGGAGAACACAGAGGGTCTCTGGCTCTCTCCCTGCGGGCTGCGGATCCTATCATCAGCAGCCTGCTCTTCACACGGAGCTCGGCTGTCGCCACTGCTGGGGCATCGTGGTGGTCTGGACAGCCACTGCAGTCGCAGACACAGCAGCCGGCGCTGCCGCAGCTTCTGTGACTGCCATAGTGCATCATGCCACCTGTGCCTGAGGCAATCCACGACTTCAGAACTTGAAGCCCCTGCAGGCAAGATCTGCTGGGATCGCTGCCACCTCTGCTGCCACCATGATATCCTGCTGGCTGTGGGTCTCCACCTGTGTGCCCTGAGGCAGGCTCCCATCTGTGGCCTCTGCCTGGCTCCTGTCCAGCTCCACCCCCTCTGGGGCGAGCAGCTGGCGATTCAAGGTAACAACACCAAAATGGGAAAAACAAGCTTAAAAAACAAACAGGCCGGATTTGAGTGGTGAACTGAGTGGTGATCAGAACTGCCCTTCACAGCAGGCCAGGGGCAACTGACCCTAACTGTGAACAAATTTACCAGCCTGAGAAGACAGCTAGAAATCAGAGCTGAAAGGACACTGGACTTAAATGAAAAGTCTCAGAGTGTGCTCGATTGGTTCTGTTAGTTTAATGACTTGATTCTATTCCTACTGTTTTGTTCCTTTTTTTTCCTTCCTTTTCTTCTCTTTTCTCCTCTCTGCAAACCATATCTTTATATAGAGGAACAGCACACCAATAAGGTGTTTGGTTAGCTTGTATGTTAGCATCATTGTATGTTTTAGTTTTTTTTGTATAGGAGTTGGTTAGTCTGTAGCTGTGGTCTATTGTTTTTATCTGTTTCAGTTTAGGTCTCTCTCTCCATTTGTTGATACACATGTCTGTTTTCCCCCTTACTCCTCTCTCTCTCCACCCCACTCTTTCCCCCACTGACTGCTCCAGTCTCTTCCCTTGACTAACCACATTTTATTTCAGGAAGTAAACCTACAGCTCCAATGCACAGACAGATTCCAAGGCAGAGGAAAGTGGGTTTCAGATTATCCATATACCTGTCGGCGGATACCAGGACCTGCAGATAGATTTTGAATCACAGCTCCCCCCTTAAGTAAATCTCAAAACTGCAAAAAGGACCACCTCCAACCTACAGTGCAACTCCAGAATTGAACAAAGTAAGAGGGCATACATAAAGAAGAATAAGAGATTGAACAAATAGAAGTAAAAGTAACCCTTCTACCCCTGAATAACAGAATTAAAAAAGACGGTGATGTGGAGGGAAGGAAAAAGTAGGGAGGGAAAAAAACCGCACAAATGAAAAAAAAAACCAGAAGAAGAAAATAGGTCTCACACAGACCCCTGGGAGGTCAGACACTGAGAAAACAGACTCTGGAACACAAACAATGAAGAGGCCCCATAATGACTGGTCACATGCAATGAACCCAGACATCAAGACATTGATAGAGAGAATTTAAAAAATTGAGGAGAGACAAGAGGAAAATAGGAAGGAGCTGATGTCAGCAGTAAAGAATACTGTGATGGAAATAAAGAACAAACTAATAAGCATGGAAAGCAGAATTAGCCAAGCAGAAGAAAGAATCTCAGAGCTTGAAGACCAAAACACAGAACTAACCCAACTGTCAAAAACATAGAAAAGAAGCTCAAAAAAGACAGAACAAAACCTTCAAGAGATGAATGATTACTTCAAGAGACCCAATCTAAGAGTAATAGGCCTTCCTGAGCCAGACAGAGAGTCAGAGGCCACACTGGAACAAACATTTCATGAAATCATTCAAGAAAACTTGCCCCATGTCATCAGAGATGAAAAAATTCAAACACAAGAGATTCAGAGAACCCCTGCAAGACAACAAATGAGAAGACCAACTCCAAGACACATAATAATTCAGCTAAACAAAGTATGTATAAAAGAAAAAATCCTAAAGGCAGCAAGAGAAAAAGGTCAGACTACCTACCAGGGAAGACCAATTAGAATAGTAGCAGATTTATCTACAGAAACCCTCCAGGCTAGGAGAGCTTGAAGCCCTATCTTCAAAGTCCTAAAAGTTAAACAATTTCAACTGAGAATAACCTACCCAGCCAAGCTAAGCTTCATCAGTGAGGGAGAATTGAAATCTTTCCCAGATATCCAATCCTTAAGGACCTACGCTGCCACCAGACCACCTCTACATGAAACACTTAAGAAAGTATTGAACATGGAAGAAAAGGAAAGAACAACAACGTTCTTCACAAGAGTACAGGCAAAAAATTAAAAACACACATAATCCAACCCTAAAACCAAAAGAAAGACAACACACAAATAGGAAGAACAACAACCATGCAAGAACATTATGATAAGGATCAACTCCCACATTTCAATAATTAGTTTGAATGTGAATGGACTAAATGCACCACTGAAAAGACATAGGATGGCAAAATGGATAAAATATCACCAGGCAACAATCTATTGCCTTCAAGAGACTCACCTCACTAGAAAGGACACTCACAGACTCAAAGTAAGAGGATGGGAAACAAATTTCCAGGCGAATGGAACACAAAAGAAAGGAGGAGTCGTGATCTTAATCTCAGACAAAATACCCTTTAAGCTATCAAAAATTACAAAAGATACAGAAGGTCACTATATAATGATAAAAGGTCAATCCATCAACAAGAAATATCCATCCTAAACATATATGCACCCAACATAGGAGCACCAACTTTCATAAAGCAGCTCCCAGGTAAACTAAAAAAAGATATCGACTCCAATACCATCATAGCTGGGGACTTCAACATCCCACTCACAACCCTAGACAGATCATCAGGACAAAAAATCAGTAACGAGATCCGAAACCTCAATGTGACTCTTGATCAAATGGACTTAATTGATATCTACAGAACCCTCCATCCAAAGACCACAGAA